CTCCAGTGGCCTGCCTTACCACAGTGATGACATTTGCCCTTTGCAACTCCTCCTATGGGTTTCTGGGTTGCAGATGAAGTGGACTTCGATTTAGGCTTTCCGACCGTCCTAGCCTTAATCTTAATCCCCTTCTTCGGCTTCCCCTTTCCGCCTTGGACCATAAGGACGGAAGCACCCTTGCCCTTAGTAAGGTTCTCCTCTGCAGTATGCAGCATTTTAAGAAGCTCCGGAAGGGGTTTGTCAAGATCATGCATCATGTAGTTCATGACAAAACCCTTATACAGCTCAGGGAGCGACTGCAGGATCAGGTCCGTTGCCAGCTCCTTCTGCAAGGAGACCCCGAGTTTCTCCAGATTGGTTATGTAACCAATCATTTTGAGAACGTGCGGACCGACCGGGTTCCCTGAAGAGAGCTTGCAACTAAAGAGAGCCTTACTCACGAGAAAACGTTCATGCCTCGATTGCCCCTGGTATAGCTGCCGCAAGGCCACGATCATCTCGTGGGCCTTCATGTCCTCGTGCTGTGTTTGCAGCTCAGGTATCATGGTAGCCAGCATGACACAGCTAACCTGGTTGTCATCCTTAACGTGTTTCTCGTAAGCATCTTTGACCGCTTTCGGGGCGTTAGCGGGAGGGGCAAAGGAATGGGCTTTTCGAGCACATACTCTTTCTCATCCATGCGGAGAACAATGCAGAGATTGCGTTGCCAGTCAACAAAGTTTGTTCCGTTCAATTTATCTTTATCCAGAATGGAACGCAGAGCGAGGTTGTTTGTGTTGTTGTTTGCCATCTACAGAATTTTGCGAAGATAGTTATTATCATGAATTAAGTATCTAATAGGTCTTTATTAAATACTCTCCCACTATTTCTAACAAGTCAACTACCGTCAGGTACGGAACCTATTGACTTGAGGTTCTATTTGAAGAATACCCTAGCGGGCCAAGATCCATATTTTATTTAACTATAGTTGTGCTTTGCATCTTGCCCTACAGTTAAATTATTTAGGTAGGAATTCATTCCAATTGCAATCATTATTACAACTCTTGGTTCGGTGGATTCTTTTAAATAAAATTCTTAATTGGGCCAGATCCATATTTCATTTAACTATAGTTGTGCTTTGCATCTTGCCCTACAGTTAAATTATTTCTGGTAGGAATAAATTCCAATTGTAACAATTTACAACTCGGGTTGGATGATCTGATTTTATTTATTGATCCTACCGCAGTGCCCTAAGTCTCTCATCCTTATGACCAAGACTTAGTTAAGACTAACCCGGGGCGAGTCAGTACCCTAGTTACGGGTTTCGCGCCTAACCAACGTAAACCGGGCGTCTCACTTGGGTGAGTCCGTTACCGATCTAAATTGGGTTTGACGAGTGACGGGGCGTCGGGGTGGCACAGACTTAAAATTATGAGGGATTTATAACGCAGTCTTGCCTATGGCATACACCGCGCGTATGCACTAGCGAAAATCACATACATGCATACATTCAATCATACATCACATGCATAATAAGTAAACGTGAAATGATTGTGGCTCCTAAAGAAAAACAAACGATAGCGCCTTGATCAAGAGATCTCTATCTCCGGCCCATCACGTCTTCCTTAGGATTCTCTATCACGAACGGACTTCGTCTTCTTATCTTCTTATAATTTTCGAGAGAAAAGAATATTTGAGGTAAAGAAGAGAATTACATCCAGAGTATAGAGATGAGGCACGACACGCAGGCCGTATTTAAAATTACAACAAATATAACTAAGCCACAATCATCCACCATGCAATAATACATACAAGCATCACATGCATCACATCATACATATTAAAGCATACACCGGGCGAACCGCGCTCGCCCCAGACCTAGTTTATTCTATTCTACGGAATAAACTATCAACAATAAATTAATTAAAC